CCTTGCGATGGACGCCAGTGAAGGCCCCCGAAGAGTTTGAGACCGAGGTTCTTGAACGGTTTGTTTAGGAGGGAAAGGGCCAGCAGCACGTTGCTGAGGTAATTGCGTGGGGAGCTGAAGTTGTCCTTGAGAGCGCGGGGACTGTTCGGGTGGCCTAGGTGGATGCGGAGGAAACTGTGCAGGCTTTGCGGCGGACGCCAGTGAAGGCCCCCGAAGAGTTTGAGACCGAGTGTCCTGAACGGGTCGTTTGGGAGGGAAAGGGCCAGCAGCATGTTGATGAGGAGATTGCGTGGGCGACTGAAGTCCATGAGAGGGACGAGGAGGTGAACCATAAACCAGTTGGCTTGAAGAAGGTTTGCGTGGAAGAGGGTCACGAGTGGGAACTCGCCCGGGCGGCATAACAAGTGAGGTCTTCACGGGTCTGCTGACGGGAGGCCGATGGGCAGTAGGGACAACCGCGCCACCTGGCGGAGGCCGTGACGCAGGCGGACCAGCATCAGGCCGTGCGCCCAAGGAAACTCCACGAGGTTGTGCTTGAGTCCTGGGATGTAAGTCAGGTTGTCGAGTAGATGGAGACGTAACCGGTCGGGGAGGGAGTGTAGGGATACGTGAAGAACTGCGATCTGGCGTAGGTCCTACTGCTGCTGTGGCAACAGTTTTTGGGCTGGGGGGAGGCTGCCGAGGAAGAGGGCCAGAATTTGGGTTGGGCGTAGGTGGTGGTTTAAGTAAATCGGCAGCCCTTCTGTTGGACGATGGAACTGGAATAGAGCTATGTCTGGGACCTAGCTTAGGTCTCGGCAGAGGCGGAAGAGCCGCCCGTTGGTCGCGGCAGTGTCGGCCTGAACATGGGCCAACTTTGGGATGTGATGCAGATAGTGGAGTAGTTGGAGCTCCAACCCGTTGGCTGGGGGGTTTACTGGACCCTAAAAGATTGTCAGGTTCGGTCCCTACAGCATGCGGAGCAACGGCCTGTTGACTGGAGGTTGTAGGTGTGCCTGGGAGAGGCGCATCCCGTGTATCTTCTGTGGTGGAGTCTGGCGAACGCTGAAGGGGCCCTGAAGGGGCAGCTCCAGGAGGTTCAACGAACAGCTTCAGCTGCCATTGTGATGCTGCATCCCCGAAATCCTGGTCCCTGCGGGTGAGGGTACCAAATGGTGAACCAAGCGGCCTCGAACCAATGGCACCCACGATGGGGGCCCTAGTCGAACTAGCACCAGAAGCGCTGTAAGACCTCTTAAGAGGAATTCTAGGCGGAAGGCCGGTGACCGGAGCATGGCCAATGGCAAGGCTCCACCGCGAGCCCGGCGCACCTAACGAATGCGGCGACGGTCCCAGCTCACCAAAAGGTACTGAATCACCCCATGGAAACACGTTTTTCCGACTTTTTGGTGTGTGCATTCCTGGATTTCGTGGGGTTTTGCCTATTTGCCACTTCATCGCGTCATGTTGCTCGTCGGGGGAGTGGGGGCCGGCTGTTAAGCGGGGATTGCCATCTTCATCTCTAGCTTGTCCATGTGGGTTGCATGGGTTTGACCCACCAGTAGCTAAGCTCCTGGTTTGAGCCGTTGATACATTGTTACCCCATCGTTTTAAGCGCAAGATGCAGGAGAAGATGAGGAAAGCCACAGTAACTACTGTGACAGAAAGCGCAACAGAGGGCGAAAGCGACCACCTCTCGGGACGAATATCGGCCTGAGGTGAAGCAAGTTCCTGAGAGAATAGTGAAAAGAAAGGGCCTTCTAATGGAACAACATTTTCGCTGGGAGCGGCTCGAGCATCTGCGGCATCGTTTGGGCTCGAGGATAGTGAGGTTGATTGGAGAGCGGAGGCTACCTGGTTTATCAAGGGAAGCACCAACCACATGATTGCGTCACCGGTGGAAAGTGCAATTTGTCGCCCTTTGCTCTCCTAGCAGCCGTCGGAGAAGACGACGGATGAGTTGAACAAATAGGACGATATGGCTCCCCAACAGTGATGTCGTTAGGAGACGTAATGTCAGAATGAAGGCATTCAGATTTCATGGCTAAAGATGCATCCCTGTGGCTGCTTTATTATTGAAGCCGTTGGAGGACGATGGAGGAGGTTACGGACGGTGCGGGAGGTGGGGTAGGCTACAGTGACCACGTGGAGAACCAGCACAGCGTTTCCAGTTCGACAGATGCAAAGAATTCCTTCACACTTTTTATTTTCACTAAACAAGATGACGAGTATCGAATCTTATCTATTCTTGGGGAAAGTCTGCATGAACCCCTCCGAATGATGCTGGAGGCGTGGAAGGACTGGTTCTGCATAGCAGGTGTGGGTTGATGAAAACATTGCTACTGGAAAAAAGCTAGAGAAGTTTAAGCGGAAAGCATCGTAATAAGAGTTTGGCTGCTTTGTCCCTGCCAGGTATGCGGCTTTGTACCCGAGTACCAATCCCCAAGCACGAGAGGCGGCACTAGAGCATTGCTCGAGTTTCAGGCCTTGCAACCCGCCGGTTCAAGACCAGGCAAGCAAGGCTGCTCGCACCATCGACTAGCTAAAACAGCAAAAATACTAAGTATATGCAGTTTCATATTCGACGCTGTAGGGTTCGTCAAAAGTATTTGCGTGCACCCATAACGGCGTGCGTATATTGCGTGCGTGATGGGCGCTGAAAGTCATGCTCGTGCTCCGCATTTGTCAGCACTTATCAACGATGTTGGTAGATTCATCGGAATGGGTCTTGGGCTTATATGCAAGCAATGTTGCCTTGGGGCAGCGACTGCAACAATCAGCTATGGACTCCGAGCAGGCCTGCTCCTCTCCACACCGCCTCCGGGCCTTCCTCCTGTCCAGTCTGGATACTGGACAGGATCTCAGCCTTTTTTTGATGGAATCATATCTTAAATCTTTCAACGACACTGGAGCCCGCAACTGCCGGTGGCTAAGGCCCAGAACTCTTCGTGTCGATGCTCCTGTTGCCCCACAACCACTCCACACCCTGCCATTTCAAAGTCCCACTTCGGCTCATGTGCTAAAAAGTGACTCAGTTGTAAAGCAATTGCTTGGATTTCATTAGCCAATATGCACATTTGAACGGATACGCACACCTACATCTGATGGACGCTACAGCACGACAGAAGAACGACCAGGGCGCCTTCCAACACACACTCCTTGCTTGAGTAGCTTGCAATACAGCAAAGACTAGTGCGCACATCCGAATTATGCAGGTGTCAAGTGAAAACAACGCGTCTGTAATAGAGATCAATGCGCGTTTTTCCTTTCCAGCCCTAGTGGCAGACGATCTTCCGTGCCGTTGGGTTCGGAGAATCGAAATCGGTTGAAGATGAACATCTCCAGGATTTCCAGACGACCTTTGCACTGCAGTTTATCAAAGCAAGTTTTGAAATACTCAACAGCTTACCATTACCAGACCTGCGGTTTGCCATTTCGTCGCAGGTGTTCCACGCAGTGGGGAGCTTCCGCATACGATTTCATCGTGGTAAATCGCATGCTTGAAGCGATGGACTGGGGGATTTTATTAAATTTTCAATCACGGGATTCAGCATCATACGAAAAACCGGTAATGGCTGGATAAGGTACGCGGCGGGAGGGGCGTACAGTTCCAAGATCTTTTTAGTTGCGTACAGAAACCCAGCGTCTAAATGCCTGAAGAAGTCCAAACAACCCTGACTCCATCAGCAACGATGATTGAATTCCAGAAGCTTGCTGTTGGTGCCCTTTGCAATTCCAGCCCTTTGCCGTTCGCATCTTCGAAGTTGCTGCCACCCCACGGCGGATCTCCTTGGAGCACGCAAGCCTCCGGTGCACTACTCCTGTGAAGCGGATTTGCCCTTTGTAGGTTATTGATGGTCTGCATTGTGGAAGGGATGGGGGAATGAGGCAGTCTACAGCATTCACCTGCTCCGTTCCAGTGCTGCGTGGAGCTCTTGTGCGTTCTGTAGTTCCCCTCCACGTCCCTTCTCACGGCTCAAAAGGCACCCCGGTGAGCCATTCATCCGCCTTGAAATCGTGACAGTCAACTCAGGTGCCAGTCGTCTTTGTTCAGGCTGCTTCCACAAGGAACAATGCCGGAGGTTAGCGTATGCCCCCTCTATTACATTGCTCACTTCAATGTAGTTAATCGCATCCGTTTTTATTGTATCTGGCACGACGAAACTTCAATGCTAATGCCAGTCAACGAGAAGAAGACTCCTGGCACTGTGAGTTAGTTTTTGGGTCGGGCAAGCACCGTAGCGTTTCTGTAGAGATTAAAGACTTGGCTGTTTGCTGTTTCATGCATGTTGCTGTCCAGCTTCGCCCTTCCCGCAAAACCCGTCAGTTGACCCCCTGCAGTGCTGCACTTGTGTAGCCCATTTAACACATTGTATGTGCGCAACCAAAGAAATCTGTGCAGCAGCTTTGGGCTAGAAACGCCTTTCCCACAATGTCGGCCTGCTAACTCAGCTGGCTCCACTCGACAGCGCGCGATGCCTCCCACATCCGCTGAATTGCTCACTTGCCCGTCACCCTACACCTAGGCTGAACGCGCTGGCCCCTCACAAGAAGAAACACTCCGCCGTTTGTCCAGAGCTTCAGAATGCGATGCAGGAATGGCGTGACACTCTGCAATAGAAGTGAACAAAAGCGCATTGACGCTGGACTTGAGACGCTCTTCAAGCAGACGTCAGGGCAGTTGCACGAGGAAGCAACACCTATAAATTATTAATTAAAATACCATAAAAGCTACCCCGCGAAGCCACTTCCAGAGCTCAATCTGTGCCTAGCGACGCACGCTCCACACGATCATGACAGAAAGATTTAAGCTGTTTCCCTGCACGAATACGCCAATTTCCATGGGAGTTCGTCTTCCTGAACGACCCGAAAACCAAAAAGCATCAGAGCAGAAACACGGTACCCAAGACCACTGCATAGAATACAACTGGAAAGAAACGCTTGCGCCACGCTTTGGACGCTGGAAAAGTAGTGGACTCAGATGAAGGCGTGGAGACGTTTTGGCTGTCTACCTCTTGCGAGATGTAGGCCCGACTGCCGGCCGTACGGAAGGCATCGAAGTAACCGTCACGCGCATCACCGAGATACAGCGATGCAAATCCAGCAAAGACCACCAGGTAAGCACTGGCTGCCTTTATCCAGATTGCCCTTTATAGATGAGTGTGTACGGCGGCGGCCTCATACTGTAAAGCTTTACAGCCGCATAGTCGGGCTGACGCTCCCCGGAGTGCTTTTTTCTTTATTCAGCAGAAGGTAGAAATCTAGTATTGACAATTGGAAAGAAAGCCTATGGGTAGGCACTATCTTTGCCTCGGTCAGCGATGCCAAGGACAGGAGTCCACAACCCGTGCGGGGAAATCCTGGGGCAGAGAAGCGGACGGGGACACACTCGGAACGCCGCAGACTGCAGTCTGATGCCATTCGGTGGGAAACATCAATTACTTCGTCAATAAAGAGCCAATTCCCATTAACTTATGCAGCCTGAGCCTAGCGACAGAAGGACATTCAAGATCCCTGGTCTCCGCCGCCAGCTGCCGTGGCGGTTGACCAGTGTCGCTCAGGTGCAAAGACACATTACACTCAGAAGTGTGTGCTTCCCCGCAAGACAAATCTGTGAGCACCTGCTTCAAAAAGGAAATTCATTTGGCCTCATCAGCAAGCATTGTTCCCACCATGCACAGTGCCCACGTGCATTTGAATCAACCGTGGACACGCACGCATAATGAGTGCTCAGGATTTCCAGCGGGTGATTTCAAGTTAATGCCGCTTACCGTGCTGCAAGAATGATCTGCTGTATACTATTTAATCTCTTTGGATGGTATCAGGCGGCACAGGCAGCTTCTCGTCTCACCAGGTTTGCTGGTCGTGGGCCGTGCAGGTGTAGCACGGCCTGCCCGAAGTCAGGACATATATTTCTACTCGCCAGCAGGCTGGCAATGGATCGCCAAGTAAGCATTTTAAAATTGCCTGCACTATTAGTGCATGAAGAAAAGAATGGCTTGGCGGTGATAGTGCGTGGGATTAACTTGCAACATTCGTAGCAGGGTGCATTGCTGCGCATGGCTGTAGTAGCATCGTCTCTCGAACAACCACTTGGCCTTATTCCGCAGCCTTCACGCAGAAACAAGTACAGAACTGCGTACAGTGGCTGTGCAGGCATCGGTCAGGGGGTTGGTTGTGCTTCCATGTGAAGCTGCCTTGCATCATTGGTTGCAATGAAGTTCACTGCAACTCTTTTCCGGTACATCCCCTTCCCCCATCCCCAAGCCATTGGCCCAATGTGCCCAAAAGGTCTCTGGAGTGGAGAGGTCACATGCTCTTTGGGAACTCTCACCTGGTTTTTTTTTGGCTGGTCACGACGGTCATAGGATAAGGTAGCGAGGTCTCGCTACAATGAGAAGCCGTTTCCTCTCCGCACCAGCCGCAGGCCCTTGAGACGCTGTGCCCAGGAGCCTGGGGAGCGAAGGGTGGATCTGCTGTTTGGATGGAGCTATTAGCATTTGACCCCATTGCAGCTCGCCACGGTCCCCACCTAGGACCGACGACGCTCGCAACAGTTTGCACGGCTGCATGGTTCATCTGCGCAGGTGAAAGCAACGAAGCATGCCCTCGCAGCTAAACAGCATGGTTGACAACGCTTGGTAGTGCAGAATGCACCATGCAAAATATGAAGCATTTCGGGATCCGCCCTAAATGCCATAAATTCAGCTCTGTTGCACGCGAGAAAATAGAAGGGATGGATTTTTGACATTTAGGGTGAATGCCGGAATATTTCATGTTTCGCACTGGAGATTGATCAGGATCTACCCTCCGGTATGAGTATTACTGACGACAGGGTGGCCTCCCGATGTGGCGACGCAAACCCACGCATCCCTAACTCCCATCCTGACAAAATGGCTCTCACCTCGCTTCTCCAAGGAGCAACTGGAGGAGAATGAGGTTGCGAGCGTCCATGGAGTGCGTTGCAGAGAATACGGAACACAATATTATTTCACCTAATGGCTACGACGGACAGGCGCGCTGACCCAAGGGGCGCAGGGTCTTAGGGTGGTTGTAAGGTGCGGCGGCGGCCTGCACCGACTGGCATCCCTTCCGCTTGGAACCCCTGCTGCCAAAGGACCCATGTGCGAAGCACAGCCCCGCTTCCATCGCATGCACTAATACGCTAGTACATTGCTGAACGCCGGCTTAGTTTCTAGCCAGGTAAGTGGTCAATAAGCAAATGGAAATGGATTCATCCGCTTGCTTCCACCAAATCATGCTCAATGGGCTCTCGTGCAAATGAAAGCATTGTTTCTTTGCTTATTTTTCTCTTGAACTTCGGCTGCTCGTTTGTTTAGATGGGCATCTTGATGTCCCCACAAGCTGGAGTGGGCCGTGAAGCTTCTTCACCTGTGCGTTCTCGGGACCAAGGTTTGTCCTCCGAATCGCCTCCGCCGTATGTTAGTAGGTCACTGCTTTGATCATTGGCCTGAGTGGGTCCTGGAACTGCCCCAGTACTACTTACGGTCGGACCCAACTAAGAGCCTGGGCCACTAGCGAAGGAGTGTAAGGCTAGTATATCGGACTTTTGGCGACAAGCCGCCCACTAGGACAGCTGTATTGCTTAGTGACAATTCCGGGAGCTTTCCAGACTGTGATTCCCCGCCATAATGCGTCTGAGAGCTAGGATGGTGGGTTTTCGCATAGTTCTCACATGATTCTCTGTACCAGAAACGCAGTGACGGTGAAGCCCCTGGTGCTTGGCTACGAGGCGTCAGGGGAATGGATGGGGCTGCCCGCGCTAGGGCTGGAAGCACTCCCGATGTACTGACAGAATTGATGCGCATGCTGTAAGGATGAGGCAATGAAGTCACAACCTTCCCGAGCTTCCTTTAGGAATTGCTCTGAGCAACTCTTGAGTGGTTGGTGAGCAGTTGGCAGTGCGAGCGTTGGCAGCGGAACCCAACGAGTCTTCACCGTTACAAGCTAAGTGCGCTTGATTGCACGATCGTCAGTCGACTTTTCCCCCCTCGGGGGCCTCCTCGCTTCATAAACTCCAACTCCCAACTGTGTATTTTAGTGTGAATTATGTGACGTCACCGCACAACAGGCGGCCCCTCATACTAATGCCACGGCTTTTTGTCCAGTTGAATTGTTCTCTGCCCAAGAAAAAAGGTGTTCGGGCCCGCGGTTCTCTAATTTTGAGTATTATCTGCATTTGCATCCGGGCAGAATTCTTCTGATGTGCTACCCTGGATATCTGCGTGATGAGCATCTTTTCGCTGTTGTTGCGGTACTTGAAGGTGAACCTCTGGGTGCTGGTACCTACAAGTCAGCATAACTGAGCCTCCTCATGCGTCATCTGCGTTTCAGTTTCCCCTGCGTATAACAGTGGCGTCCATCTTCCAAAAACTCACAGAAGCAGGCGCAGCGACCTATTCATGGGAAGCAGAGGCATCAATACACAAAAACGCCTTGCGTGTACTCCGCCTATCAAAACAATATCGATTCCAAAGGCTCTATAAGGGCATGCAGAGCGATTTTGCACGGGAAACGTGATGTGTTCACACGCGCTGTCACACCACTCTTCGCCTTATGCTCGGCATTCTGAACGCAGATTTTATCAATGCGCATGCTGCGGACCAGAAAAGAAACCAAATATGGGAGCTCGGCCCCCATTATGGTTCTTGAATTGAAGAATCAGGGCACTGCCTGTCGGGATTCGCCGCTGTGTGCGACGTCGGAGGTGCCATTCGGATGCAGCACATGCGAGCCAAGACAAAGTACATGAGAAGAAGTAGACCAATCATCGAAAGCTGAACAAGGTACATGCCCCAGGAACCTACACTGACGGTAAGGTGAAAGAGTGGACTGCACAAGAGAGAGAAGAGACCACCAACTAGCTGCACAATGCCAATGAGACGACCAAAAAACTTGGCAGGGAAATTCTCCTCCACATGCACAAACACTTGCGAAACGAACAGTGCCATGTACACGGCGAAGCACACGACAGATATTATACCCGTAGCTACTGTCTGCTTCAGGCTAAATGAATAGGCCAGTAAATCCGCCGTGTTCACTATTCCCATAACGGCTAAGATGCCAATGGTTTCCGAAAGCTTGCCCAACAGTATGCACGGTATGAACGAC